AGCGAGCGGGCGAGGCGGGCGGAGGTGCGGGCCGCGGGGCCGGGAGCGGGCTCGGCGGGCCGGTGGCGCGGACAGCGGCGGAGTGCCACGTGGCGGGAGGCGATTGGGCGTGGGCGGCGGAGCGGACGCGTCCGGGCGGGTTGGACGTGTCCGGCGAGCGCGGGGACGAATTTTTTAGGGTTTGGACTGCGAGATTTCGGGGAAGGGGCTAATTTATAGGTAGAGGGAGCTAGGAGAGTCCAAATGAGGTGCGGTTTTCGCCCACGCGATCGTGATCGAACGACCGAGAGTATGGAGGGGAGTTAGATGGGTTTTGGGCCACTTTGGAAGGGGTGTTGGGCTGCAACTCAAAGAGGGCTTTACGGTTACCCGGTTAACCGTTGGAGTATCAGACGACCTCCAAACGGCACGAAAATTGACAGGCGGTCTACCGGTGCTATGCCAAGGCCGCTTGGCAAACCTCGGGCCATTCCGAGAAAGTTTAACACCCGCACACGAAGAGAGGCAAGAAGCGGACGCCGGATGACATAGGAGTGCCGGATTGCAAAACGGACAACGGGGAAAATGCTCGGATACATGAAACGAACACGTATGCAAAACAAAATGCACATGATGACATGATAAAATGCAGATGATGACATGGCAAAATGCAACACGCAAGCAAATGACATGGCAACGGCGGTGAATAACTGGCGGACACCTGGCGCATCGGATCCGGGGCGTTACACTGCCACGCTGCCGCCGCCGGTTAACCTTGCCATTGATTCCTCACGGGCGGCGCGTCACGGGCGGCGCCGCGTCGCCTCCCCTCCCGCCACGCATACATACGGGCGCGGCTATATAAGCCGGCGCCCTCCCTCGCCTCAGGCCACACCAGCCCTTGCCGCCGAACCCTCTCCCTCTCCCTCTCCCTCTGCTGTGCACCGTTGCCGCCGAGCCCCTCCCTCTCCCTCTCCCGTGAGCCGACTCCGAGCCCTCCCCCCCAATGGCCGAACGCTTCCCCGGCGACGAGGCGGCGGCCAACGGCTTCGGCCGCCGCTCGCTCCGCGAACAGGAGTCGTGGCTCCTGTTCAAGGCCAACATCCCAGCGTCGCCGGACATGCGCGCCGGGCCGTCGGGGTGGCGGCTCAACAACGGGGGAGTGCCCATTCCGCTGTTGCCCAACGCCGCGGCGCGGAGCGCCTACTTCGCCGATGAGGTCGAGCATGCGCGCGCCTCCCTTACCGATGAGCAGCGCACCCTCCCCCAGTACGCCGTCGACAACCACTCGGCATGGGCGGCGTACTTCGAGCGCCGTCAGGAGCAAAGGCTGGCGTCCACCAACAGGGCGCCGGTGGTGGGCGGCAGACAGAACAGTGAGGGCCGCCGCATTTGGTGGGGCGTCCCCGGCCGCACGCTCGGTGGCGTGTTGGCGCACCTTGAGGGCGGCAACGAGCCGCCACTGACATACCCTCCCCCGGCGGCCCCGACCCCGGCATACCACCGACACGCCGAGCAATGGCTGCCCAGGAGGTTCGTCTCTTCATCGTCTTCCTCCTCCTCGTCGCGATCTTCTTCCCACTCCCCGGCTCTCCGGCGCTGCTCGGCGTCAAAACCGAGCCCGCGGCGGAGACGCCGCTCGGCCGGCGCACTCGCAGCGCCGGCATCGTCATCAACGAAGGCGGTCGGCGCGCCCCCTCGTCGGCTCGTCCGCGGTTCGTCAAGCCGAAGACGGAGCCCGGGCTCGCGACGGTGAAAACGGAGCCGGTGCTCCCCGCCGTGAAGACGGAGCCCGGGGAGGTGGCGCTCAACGACGATGCGGCACTGAAATGGGCGCGCAAGGACTTCCTCAGGATGGAGAGGGAGCGCCAGGTTGCCGCACTGCGGCGCTTCGAGCAGCGCCGTCGGGGCCGCGAAGAAGGAGTCGTCGTCCTCGACGACAGCGACGACGACGCGCCGCCGGCACCTGTCCGCCATGGCGACGCCGGGCAGGGGTGCAGCCCGGACGGCCGCGTCAAGGAGGAGAAGGCCGACGACGATGACGATGGCAAGGACGACGGCGACTACTCCGCGTCTAGCGATTTTTTTTTAAGTTATATTTGTTATGTAAACGCGTCGCAAACATGTAATATATGCCAAAGTTTGCCGAAATTTAGCCGTGTTTAACCGAACGTCACCGAATATTATTATTTTTTTTAAAAAAATAGACGCGTCTGGGGGCGGCCCTGAGGACAGCGACTGGGGCAACTCGCTCCCAGTCCTTTTTTTGCGCCGCCTCGTCCCCCAAGCGGCGATTTTAAGCAGGGGGCGAACGGTTGGAGATGCTCTGGGGCCTGCCTAGGACTCCCCCGTCTTTTCTCGTGTCTCTATTTTCTTTGGCGGCGGCGGCCGATTGATTCCCGCGAGGCGCAGCAGCGGTGGATCGAATCCTGGAGGCGCTTCTCCTGCGCAGAGGATTACAGCGCGAATCATTGGCTGCTTGCGACGCGAGCGGCTGGCGGAATCAGGGGCCAGGGAGGAGCGGCAGCAGCGACGGCTTGATCTTGGTGCGCTTCCAAGTCACGGCAAGCAGCGAAGGTTCTGTTCGTTCTTCTCCCCAAATCAAGGGAATATACGAGGCTTGTTTTGATAGGCGGCGGCTACACCTGGGCAGCGCGAGTCCGCCGCAGAGGCTGAGGCTTACAGCGCGAATCATTGGCGGCTTGCGACGGGAGCGACTGGCAGAATCAGGGTCGAGGGAGGAGCGGCAGCAGTGACGGCTTGATATTGGTGCGCGTCCACCTCACTGCAAACAATAAGGTTCTGTTCCTTCTTCTCCCCTAATCAAGGCTCGCAAGCAACACCATCTGTACGAGGCTGGTTTTGGTCAGCGGCGGCTACTCCTGGGACGGCCGAGAGACCTACACAAGATGAACTCAGTGACAGAGAGCGGATTGAACTCAGTGACAGAGAGCGGATTGAACTCAGTGACAGAAAGCCGATTGAACTCAGTAAGGGAGAGAGGATTCTTCAGTTTGGTGGATGAACCTTTGGTGACAGGATCGATCGACTCCCTGCTCGCTAAGCTCAACTTCACCACCAAACTGAAGAAGAGGCGTGCCAAAGTAATGAAAGAACTATATCAAGATGTGCTGAAACTAAAGAAAGGTTTCGACAACCTTGGCGGGGGCCGGGTGATGGATCCATGTGCCCTATTGTGGACGCAGTTTGCTAGAGATCTGGTCTTTGACATTGAAGAGTGGGTTGACGCGAGGCCGGGTTCCGCAAATTCATCAAAGAGAGAGTTAATTGATCTGTTCAAGCACCGGATCCATAATGTGTGTGAGCAGTTCACGTGGTGCGACCTTCTCGGTCCTACCGAAGATCAGTTCAAGCTTATCCATGATTTGCATAAAGATTTGGAGAGCCTTAAGAAAGATCTCCCCTATAAGTTTGGCCCACCGGTGACTCCTGAGCAGTCAGTGTGGATGGATCAAACATGTGAGCTGGTCAGCAAGGTGGAAACTTTGGTCCATCAAAAGCCAATAAAGGACATGGATGAATCATGGGAAAAACTAATACAGGAGTACAAGGCCAAAATACAACAAACGCGTGATACACTCAGTACAGCCCCCATTTGCTGTCCACTGCTTTCTGAGGAGAAAACCCACAACCTCATTGCTCTCAAAGCACCAAGTAGTAAGCTTCTCATGCATCTGACTTCCTCACAGGCGAGGCTAAAGCTGGTGTCTGTCGTCGGAATGGAAGGCCTTGGTAAGACTACTCTTGCCAAGGAGGTATATGCAAAGCTTCAAAACAAGTTCGAGTGCCGAGCTTTCGTTACTGTTAGCAAAAACGCGTATCTAACGGCCGCTCTACTGGATATACTTCATCAAGTAAAGCCACAGGGTACTATTCCTCGCAATGGCCCGGGAGCTCCTGAAATTAACCAAGTCGTAACCGAGCTCAGGGAATACCTCGTCACAAAGAGGTATTTCTTGTTTACATTGTCATACTGTAGATAGACATGTTATTGGGCTTTCATGTAGCAAGACAATGCAAAAGAGCATCACCGAATGTAGACCGAGGCTGTTGACTAGATGTATGCATTTTGTTCTTTCTATTAATTTTAATCTGAAATCACATCAAATTAATGACGGTTAATGTTATTTGATGCTTCACAAGATAATTATGATAAAAAGATCAATCTTTTAGCAGTTTTTATCTCTGTTTTTGTTGTATTTTGTCAACCCTTTTATCTATGCAGACCAAACAATCATTTTTTGTGTGCAGCTTTTCTGTTTAGCAGTATCAGCATATCAGAGACACTTTTAATGTATCGGTAACCAATAGAGCCATTGGTAGGATCTAACTGACTTGGAATTATTGAGTAGATAAGTAACAAAACAGAACCAACTTGCTATAATGTCATCTGTTTAAATTGATCTTCTTTTAGCTGATAACGCTAACTTTGTTCCTTTAATATATGTCAGCTATTTCATCTTAATTGATGACGTTTGGAGCATCCGGGTATGGGATATTCTTAATTGTGCTTTGCCTGAGAATGATCTTGGAAGTAGAGTATTGATCACAACTTGCATCAGCGATGTTGCCAAATGTTGTTCTATGCGCCCCGTTGATGCCATCCACCAGATGGAGCCTCTTAGCGAGGAAGACTCAAAGCCATTATTTCATGAGGAGGCAAAAAGGCCCGCTGCAAATGAGTTGTTGAAAATGTGCGGTGGCATGCCATTGGCAATAATTGTTGCAGCCGGCAGGAAATCTGCAGGACTAGCTGACTCAGAGATCGGTGAGCGATGTATCCTTTCGACATCAGACCAATATTCCACATCAGATGGGATGATAATGATATTGCAAATGAGCTATGATGAACTGCCTGCTCCCTTGAAGTCTTGTCTTCTATACCTTTGTGTTTTTCCAGAATATTATGCCATCAAGAAAGAGCGTTTGATACGGCTGTGGATCGCTGAGGGATTTATCTTAGGAAGATGTGAAGAAAGCTTGTGGAGGACAGGAGAAAGCTATTTCAACGAGCTCATCGGTAGGGGGCTGATTCAGCCAGTGTTTGGCTACGAAGATGGCCAGGCTGTGGCGTGTACGGTGCATGGTGTGATCCTTGAGTTCATCAAATCTTTGTCTAGGAAATACAAGTTTGCTACAACGGGTGCAGACTTGAGGTCTGGAGTATGTCCTTGGTACCCAATTCGCCATTTCTCAGTCGATTACTGCAGTAAGCAAGATGAAGTGAACACATTGGACTTAAGAACCCTGCACCTTTCTAGCATGCGGACCCTCCAAGTCTTTGGGCCTGTTGGATGGACAACTCTCCGCACAGGTTCTAAGGTTATGAAAGGGAAGGCTGTTCCGGGGGATACTGAGGGGATCCCTCTTCTGTCAAGCTTCAAAAATTTACGGGTACTCGATCTGGAAGATAATGACAATTTGAGAAGCCACCATCTGAAAGACATTGGAGGGTTGGTTCTGCTAAGGTACCTGGGGCTTAGAGGGTCTGCTATCCATGCGTTACCAGACGAAATAGGAAAGCTGGAACATTTGGAGACGCTAGATGTCAGGCACACTAACCTGAGAAATCTGCCTGCATCTATAGTTGGATTGGAAAGGTTGGTATGCCTACTGATTGAAGATGCCGTGGAGATGCTGAGCAATATCCTTGTAATGCAAGGACTACAAGAAGTATCAACGATCAGGGTCGACAACATCGAGTCACTCCATGAGGTGGTGGAGCTGCTGGCTCGGTCGGAGAGGCTGAGCATCCTTGGCTTGAGCTTTGACGAACTAAGCCCATCTCTGGACAGTGCACGTGCATTCACCGATTTATTGAGGGCGGTTGGACAGTCTAAACTTCGGTCCCTATCTCTGCATTGTCTTCATGGTGACTGGATTGGCCTACTGGACTCGAGACCATACCAGCTGCGAAGATTTGAGGTGGCTGTACCTGTTCCAGTCTTGGAAAGTACTGTATCTATTATTCCCTGCTGTATCACCCACTTGAATATTGAAGTGGCTCATTTGGGAGAGGAAGGTCTCATTGTGATCGCGTCCATGCCCCAGCTTGTCCTTCTCAAGTTAGCATCTTCAGGACCTGCTGCTGCCATGATGGACACGGACACATCCTTACGAAAACAGAGAAGAAGAGCGAGAATTCGGAGGGGAGCCTTTCTGTGTCTTAAGGTGTTGTGGTTCACATGCAAGGCTGGTGGGAATGAGGTGCAGTTTGATCCAGGAGCCATGCCACAGCTGCAGGGGCTGCGGCTCCACTTCAACACTCTAGAGACGCTGTCCCTTTATGGAGATTTTGAGTTCGGCATTGAGCATCTCTCTAGTCTCAACAGAATCCATGCGACCTTCACATGTGAGGATACTGCCGCTCCAGAGGTGGTGCATGCAGAGGCTGCCATCAAACAGCAAGTATCTCAGATCTCCTCCGCCAACACACCAACAATAGAGTTCAGCAGAGAGAAACCCAGGATGCTCGAGGAGCACTGATAGAAAAAGAGGCTTCCGTCCAGCCCCATTAGTCGCGAAACTGTAGGAACCGCGACTAATGAAGTCTTTAGTCGCGGTTCGGCAGATGAACCGCGACCAAATGCCTGGGCCCAGGGCGCTCGCGGGCTTTAGTCGCGGTTGGCCAGGCCAACCGCGACTAAAGGTGCCCAAAGGCCTTTAGTCGCGGTTGGCCAGGCCAACCGCGACTAAAGCTCCTCCCTTTTAGTCCCGGTTTGTGGCACGAACCGGAACTAATGGGGTTGAGACCTTTAGTCCCGGTTCGTGCCACGAACCGGTACTAAAGGTCCCATTTTCAAACTCTACCCCCCCGGGATTGCCTTTTCAGTTTTAAAAAAAATAAAAGAAAATAATGGAAATGTCAAAAAAATAAAAGAAAATAAGTTTCTCATGTGATATGTGGTCTAGTTGTTGGGAAAATTTGCAAATGTGAATTTTGACTTTATTTGCAAAATCTCTCTGAAATTTGTAAAAATGGGCATAACTTTTGCATACTAACTCGGATGAAAAAGTTTTTTATATGAAAAATCATCTACTCGAAAAGTTACATCCAAATTTAACGGGGGGAACCCCGTTAAACATTTTCAAAATCCTCAAAAACCTAATAGAAAAAAAGTTACGGGGCTTGTAAGATCTAGAGTGGAAAAAATTGAAAAATATTCAAACAGTGGGCAAACTATGGTCAAACAATGGTCAAACTAATTATTCTAGAATATTAGTGTTACTAAATAATTATTTTAATTATTTCAATTTTGGTCAAATCTGGTCAAACTTTGGTCAACTGTGGTCAAACTGTGGTCAAACAATGGTCAAACTAATTATTCAAGAAATATTAGTGTTACTAAATAATTATTGTTTTTTAAAACAATAGTTTCAAACTCAAACAGTGAAATGTGTCACTTCATGCTCAAGCAAAATTCCTGAAGGTTAATAGGATTGACATCTTATTATTGTCAGGAAAACAACAAGTGCAGACTTGGAGCGTGGGAGAATAGAACCCGGAAGTTAAGCGTGCTTGGGCTGGAGTAGTGAGAGGGATGGGTGACCGGTTGGGAAGTTAGATGATTTGGAATGATGAGGGGTGATAAAAAAATAAATTGAGAAGTGATGAGGGGTGGTGATTAGAGACTAGAGGTTAAAATAATTCAGAAATTTGAAAAAAAAATTCAATTTTTTTTTCAAAAACCTGTGGCGGCCTTTAGTCGCGGTTGGCCACAAGAACCGCGACTAAAGGTCCTCCGCCCACGTGGACGGGCCTTTAGTCGCGGTTCGAAAGCAAACGCGACTAAAGGGGGGGGCCTTTAGTCGCGCCCGTCTGGTCGCGGTTGCGCAACCGCGACTAATGGCAGTTGCGAACCGCGACCAAAGGCCCTTTTTCCACCAGTGTTGGGCTCCTTTTGATCGTTGGATTAAGACCTCGAAGCGTTTTTCCTTGCAGACACGCGTTTGTAGTAGCTAGAAAATGTGTTCACACCTCAGGTGGCGTTGGGAGTAGCTAGCGCGTTGGTAGTACCCTCTACGTAAGAGCATCTCACTAGTAGAAAAAGAGGCTTCCGTCCAGCCCCATTAGTCGCGAAACTGTAGGAACCGCGACTAATGAAGTCTTTAGTCGCGGTTCGGCAGATGAACCGCGACCAAATGCCTGGGCCCAGGGCGCTCGCGGGCTTTAGTCGCGGTTTGTGGCACGAACCGGAACTAATGGGGTTGAGACCTTTAGTCCCGGTTCGTGCCACGAACCGGTACTAAAGGTCCCATTTTCAAACTCTACCCCCCCCCCCCGGATCGCCTTTTCAGTTTTAAAAAAAATAAAAGAAAATAATGGAAATGTCAAAAAAATAAAAGAAAATAAGTTTCTCATGTGATATGTGGTCTAGTTGTTGGGAAAATTTGCAAATGTGAATTTTGACTTTATTTGCAAAATCTCTCTGAAATTTGTAAAAATGGGCATAACTTTTGCATACTAACTCGGATGAAAAAGTTTTTTATATGAAAAATCATCTACTCGAAAAGTTACATCCAAATTTAACGGGGGAACCCCGTTAAACATTTTCAAAATCCTCAAAAACCTAATAGAAAAAAAGTTACGGGGCTTGTAAGATCTAGAGTGGAAAAAATTGAAAAATATTCAAACAGTGGGCAAACTATGGTCAAACAATGGTCAAACTAATTATTCTAGAATATTAGTGTTACTAAATAATTATTTTAATTTTTTCAATTTTGGTCAAATCTGGTCAAACTGTGGTCAACTGTGGTCAAACTGTGGTCAAACAATGGTCAAACTAATTATTCAAGAAATATTAGTGTTACTAAATAATTATTGTTTTTTAAAACAATAGTTTCAAACTCAAACAGTGAAATGTGTCACTTCATGCTCAAGCAAAATTCCTGAAGGTTAATAGGATTGACATCTTATTATTGTCAGGAAAACAACAAGTGCAGACTTGGAGCGTGGGAGAATAGAACCCGGAAGTTAAGCGTGCTTGGGCTGGAGTAGTGAGAGGGATGGGTGACCGGTTGGGAAGTTAGATGATTTGGAATGATGAGGGGTGATAAAAGAATAAATTGAGAAGTGATGAGGGGTGGTGATTAGAGACTAGAGGTTAAAATAATTCAGAAATTTGAAAAAAAAAATTCAATTTTTTTTCAAAAACCTGTGGCGGCCTTTAGTCGCGGTTAGCCACAAGAACCGGGACTAAAGACTTTTGTCGCGGTCCGTAAGAGCCGCGGCTAAAGGGAGGGGGTCTTTAGTCGCGCTTATTTAGTCCCGGTTGCACAGCCGGGACTAAAGACTGTTGCGAACCGGGACTAAAGGGCTTTTTTCTACCAGTGGAGAAAAAGAAGACGGTGGCCATGATCACCCAGAAAAGTAGCTTCAGTAGATGGTTGAGGGGAAAAAAGAGAGGATAGGCCCGCTTACAGACAAGGAACATGATCACTCTGCACGAAATGATGATTGTATTTCTGGTTAAGCAAGAACCGGGATTAAAGGGCTTTTTTCTACCAGTGGAGAAAAAGAAGACGGTGGCCATGATCACCCAGAAAAGTAGCTTCAGTAGATGGTTGAGGGGAAAAAAGAGAGGATAGGCCCGCTTACAGACAAGGAACATGATCACTCTGCACGAAATGATGATTGTATTTCTGGTTAAGCAAGTGGCGAAATATCAACCGTTGAGGTGACGACTCCCAACTTTGCTTTGCCTGTTTTGTTTGTGAGCTTTACAATTTGAAGGTGTCTTTTCCCATTGTGTGCAAGTTATTTCCAGCTGACATGATGGTGCATGATTGATGGACTAGCTCATGGTAATACTATAGTATAATCAGTACAGATTCTAAGCTCCCAAGAAATGAGAGCCTCTGGTGCATCGTGGTTATGTTGGCGGTAAGTTTTTTTTTTCTTGAGGCAATATGTTGGCGGTAAGTTGGCCCGGTTTGGGGATCTTTTTCCTTGGTCGGTTCAAAATGGGCCTTTTCAGGTGACTGATGGCGTGCGTGAGGCCTTTTTAACGTACGTGTCGCTGGGTGCCTCTGTTCTATCGTTCTCTGGAGATAATAGAGGCGCTAGCGGCTGTGGGGGACCTTTTCTTCGATTCGGAGTGGATGGGCGGCCATGTTCTTCCGGGCTGCGCTTGCTGTTCTCTCCGGGGTTGAGCTGCTTCTGTCACCGGAGTCTTCATCTTCGCGTCGGCTTCTCTGATCTACTGGGTGGGTGGAGGCGTGGATTGCTTTCCATGGCTAGGGGATTTGCATCGGCCAGGTCGCCTTCCTTCATTCCCGGTTCAGGATCAGTTTCCTTTCCTTTTCCTTTTTGTTGGTGGTGATTTGATTTGCTGTCTCACCTTTGTATTGGGGTGCAGTTTGGGTGCTTTATCATTAGAGTTGTTTTGGGGAGGGGGAGGGGGAGTGGGGTGGGGTGAGATTCGTCCCGTAGAATATTCATTCATGCTGCGTTTTGTTGTAGTTTCGGTTTGATGAGGTAGAAGATGTGCTTCATCTGCTTCGATACGTCTTGTGCGTCGGTCACTGATGTATATATAGAGTGATTATTAGGCATGGTTAATCCGGATAATTTCAGGGTGTACAGTCTTTCTCGCCAAATTAATGTGTAGCGTGTGTTTCTATCTATAAGGGTGTACATGGCTATAAATAAATGGTAAAGATGAACTCCCCTCATGTATCTCTTTTTTCTTCGTATGACTGAAAAATAGATGATTAATTCTTCAGATAAATATGTTTGTCCTCTTCAGTTTTGACAGCAGCCTTCATTGACGTTTAGAGGTATGGCTCTGGTCTTCTGGACCAGGAAATTATTTCGCTAAACAAGCAAAAAAAAAGGGGGGTTATCCAGGTTGTGTGTTGATTGCAATAATTTTTAGTTTTCCCCTTATGCCGGTTCAGTCATTTGTGGATGTGGATGGCCATGCTTGCGTGAAGAAAGGTCTGAGCGCTAATGGTTACTGCATTGCAGATATGGGTTGGTTATGCTTTAGGACATGTGTGGCAGATGTGTGAAGTGGATATGTGTGCGCTTCTGGGAGCGTTCAGTTAGGTGCATTCTTGTTGTTCTTTATATTGTTTTACTTATGTCGTTCTAACCTGTTAGCTTTGGTTAAAGGTGTATAAAACCATGTTAGTAACTGGTAATCTCTTTCTATTGCTTATATGCATCATCACATTGATTCTAAAAGGGATGATCATTTAACTGGGTAAATAGAATTTTATTTGTATGTTGTGCCTGCACTTTCTGGAAAGGAAGATCGTCTAACTAGGGAAATAGAATTTTATTTTATGTTCTGACTGCATTGCAAGTTCATAGAGGAAGCTATCCTGATCTTTTTATTCAGATTTTTGTGTGTGTTGTGGTTTTCCTTGAAAGTGTTGGGCCTATGTTATTTTGTACGGGGCTAAGGTAACTCCAGTGGGAGAGCCGTGTTATGGGTGACCTTATTGCACGGTTCAGAGAGGACTTTGTTGGTTGTTTCTGGAGACTGATGAAGGATCAAATTTGTTCGTCGTTGTGGAGGGTGAAGACCGCTACCCTGCTTGTTGCCACACGACAACACGCATAGGTCGTGTCATATTTTGTATTAATCTCAGAGCTATATGCTTTCTTGTTTTGTTGTTTTTGGAGACTAATGAAGGATCAAATTTGGTCGTCGCTGTGGAGGGCGAGGACCGCTACCCTGCTTGTGGCCACACGACAACACACATCGGTAGTGTCAGTCAACCACATGATGTTTCTTGGGCATTTTTCCCTCTGCCTACATCTCTTTTACCTCAACAAATTCAAGAAATCAAGATCTCTAACTCTGCTTTTCTCCTTGATTTTTTTAACAAACATATTTTATATGATGCTCAATTCTTTATTTGATGAATTATCTAGCTTATACTCAAGGAGATTTTAAGATTGAGGCCACCGAGCATTTTTCTAACCACCATAATTCTTTATTTGATGAATTATCTGAGTAGATTTTAAGATTGAGGCCAACGAGCATTGATTCTCAAGGAATTATCCAATATCCATGCAGAATTGCAGGACTTATTTGTTGCTGATGCCTAATAATGAGTGAAAGCAGTTCCATTCTAGCTCTTAATTTGAAGTCGGGGGGCCAAGATTATTTGCTGGTGGAGATCCAATAATCCAGACAATTTATTAAGGGTATCTCTCTCATTAGGTTAGTATTGTTTTCTTGATGAAAAATTCACATGCCAGATGATAGTGTCAAAAGATGATTGATTACCTTTTCACCAGTTATGATATTATTCTTCACAAAGCACATTTTTATAATATCATTAGAAAGTATAAGTGTATATACTTGATATTTCAGTGATGAGCCCAGTGGTAAAATTTTGCCAGCACACAACCTGGACATCCCCTTTTCTTGTATGGAAGTAAAATGGAGGTGCGTGAGGGGACTTCATTTTGACATTTTATACTTATGTATCATTATGGATAGGTGACCCCTTGGTATAACAATAGATGACTTCTACAAACTGATTAGGCATGGTTAATCCAGATATTTTCATGAGTACAATATTTTTTCACCAAATCAATGTGTTAGTGTGTGTTCCTATCCATAATGATACATAACTATAAAGTGTTGCTCCTTAAATTTTCTCCTCACTTATATCCTTGATTTGTAGTATGCTGCAGTCAGTTTCAGTCTTTTTTACTTTTCAGCTATATAGGAAAGAGCAGGTAGGACGATACTGCAATGTGAAGAAATAAATGTAAGCATCAGGCTTCACGAAACTCCTTAATAGCTGAATAGAAAATCATTCAATAGCATATATGTTTCTTACATGGCTGCATTATTTTGCTGTTTATTTTTTTAAGGAGTAGACCCCGTCGAACTTTTTGTTGGTGTTACATCTTACAGCACAAACAGTACGACCAAATGCAACAATACATACGCTAGGATTCAGAGGACATTAATTATGGTCGGGTCTGCTGCAGATTATATAGTCTATGAAGTATCGCGCTGCTCCTAATTTCAAGCTAGATTGTCTCACTCCAGGTTCTCTACTTTGTTGATCTTTTGTTATTTTACTTCCATATTATGGTTCGTCAATCTATTTTGGAGCTTGCAAAATCTTCATAGTTGAACCTCAGTAATTGGATAGTAATTCAAGAGAGATGGATTGCTTGTGAGAGATTTAGTGCGTAAGCTACGTACGTTGGCATTCAGGTTCTAAAATCCCAGTTGCCTGTAGCTCAAAACCCATCAAATATTGCGAGCTTTCCGTTGGTTACATCCTGATAAATTTGCACTACTGATAGGATTTGGTCTGTTCCATAGTTTGACACTTAAAGAAAAATACAACAAATTATGTTGTACAAGAGCACAAATTTTGCATAGCTCACGGGAGTCCGCGTCATATTATTCCTTTTCTTTACATGGGGTTTGCTTTTCTTCCTTTCTCCTTTAATTCTTTGTCTGCTCTTTGATGTTCTGCCTGTGGATTGGGGCTGCTGCCAGAGCAGCGGTATGTGTTCTATGTCGTGTAGCATATATGGGTTGTGCAGCATATGTTTTTTTCTACATATTTCCTTGACACATAGTTCTTCCCTGTTATGTGTAGATCTGCAGGCAGCAGGCAAGATCATTTGGTTCGTCGGTTTAGTAAGAACTTCCATTGTTGATTTCTCTTCCTAATGTAAGCCTTGCTATTGCATTGGTTAGGTATGTTCCTGTTGATTTCTCTTCCTAATGTAAGCCTTGCTATTGCATTGGTTAGGTATGTTCCTGTTTTGTATACAGTTTTAAATAATTAGTGATCTAGACTAAGAAGTGAGCTACAAACGAGATGTTAGTTTTTCCCAGATTACTATGACGAACAGATTTTCTTTTTCTACATCCATGGCCAGGAACATGTATTGTATCCAATACAAAATGAAGCTCTAAATAATTGCTAGATCTCAGAAGTGTTAGACTAAAAATGATTCATCAACTGAATGCATTTTAGTGTAATAACTTAATGGTTGGAAACATCACGAGTTTTAGTATGATAAAACTAAAATCTGAATGGAATCATGAATGTATATCAGTTTGTTGCACAAATTATGCAGCAACGCCAAAGCTGTAATTTGATGGTATTGTATCTTGCATATACGAGTTACAGGCATTAGTCTTATTCTTTTCTACGAAGACTACCGTATATGGTTTGAATCATTGTTATATATTTTCTTCTGATGCAAGCCTGTATCTACAGTTCCATTCTCATTTCCTTCTTTCTTTTTTATTCTGCAGGGCACATGTCTCCATAGTACACTTACAATTAACTTCTTGGGTATATCATTGTTGTTGCCTCCTAATTTGTGTGATGCAAAAAGTTGTGCATTTTGTGTGTGGATCTGAGATGCCTAGGAAGGTTGGGAAGTGAACTTGTTACCTCTGTTTAATTCAATGGCATGTTGAACTTGATGCGCCTCTTGGCCCATGGCTTTTCCCCCGAAAGTTTGGAAGTGCGAATGTTTCTGGGTATGTTGATCACCACTAATTTCTATAGAAAGGAGCCGAATGGGAGTGAGTAAGCTCCTTTTCACTTGCTGCCATCTACTCCCTCCGTTCCGAATTACTTGTCGCAGGTATGGATGTATCTAGAAGGGGA